TTTTATTTTATTTTATTTTATTATTTTTTTCAGTGAGTATATAAATTCCCTTCTCCCCCTCCAAGGACAGAAGGGGTTGTGCTTTTCCTGGCATTAATATCTCATGTTTCTTTTGTCTTTCTAGGCAGTGGACCCATCCACTGGACGGGAGACGGCTGGGAATTCAAACTTTCCGACCCAGATGAGGTAAGATGCCCTTGGAATTAAGTGCACAACCCAAATTCCTTTGAGATATTGGTGTGGATAACCCTCTCCTCCTGCCTTCAAGGCTGAGATTTGGGCAGTCACGTTGGTCTGGTTTCAGGTGCGTGGAAGGGAAAAACAAGAGATTAGAGCCCAGATGAAAACTTGTGAAAAACTGAGCTGCAGTAACACCAAGGGAGCAGAAATTCGTGTCCATGGTTGGTGGGAAGTCGCTGAAACACCAGAGAAGTGTAGTGCCAAAGCTCTTCCAAAAGGTTGGATGAGGCTTTGAGGAACCTGGTCTAGTGGAAGGTGTCCCTGCTGCTGGCAGGGGGGTTGGAACTGGATGAGCTTTAAGGTCTCTTCCAACCCAAACCATTCGATGATTCTATGAAAAAGCACGTGTATAGGTGAGAGGAGAGGGTTTTCACTGATTTTGGGGAACAGATGGGACTTTGCTTCCCTTCCCTGACTTCTAGATCCTCATAGAGTCCTCTGCAATGTTCTACCATAGCATGGAGCTTGGTTTTCCCAAACTTTAATACTCGTGACCCATCCTAGTCCATCTTAAAGACGAGGAAAGTCCTCTCTCTCTCACCACTTGCCAATGGCTGCCCAACCAAACCAGACAGATATTTTTCCTTCCCTTCCCTACGACGTACATCCCACCTTGACTCTTCCCACCCCTTTTCCTAGGTGGCCAGGCGATGGGGCAAGAGGAAAAACAAACCCAAGATGAACTACGAGAAGCTGAGCCGTGGCTTACGTTACTACTACGACAAGAACATCATCCACAAGACGGCCGGGAAACGCTACGTCTACCGTTTCGTCTGCGACCTGCAGAGCCTTTTGGGTTACACACCTGAGGAGCTCCACGCCATGCTGGATGTCAAGCCAGATGCTGATGAGTGACGATATCCAGCTGGAGCATCAAGGATCACACCCCGTGTTCATTTTGGAGAGTCGATGGGACTTCTTCTGTTGGTTCTTTTTTTTAATTTTTGCTGTTATTTTTGTTGTTTTTTTTTTTTAATTATATTTTATTTTTTTTTTAAAGAGCGACTCAGATTTGATACGTTGAGGATGTTGGGCGAGAGGTTGGTGGAAGAGGCAAACTTTTGGCTGAAAAAAAGAGTTTGGTTCAGAGAAGGATGGGCTTATTTTCTTCTTTTTTTTTTCCTGAAAGCTCCAAGACAGGCTTTTTTTTATTTTTTTTTGGAGAGGGGTGAAATTCTGAGTTTTAAGAAAACCAGAACAATGTAGCTCACTTAAAAAAAAACCCCAAGAACCCCCTCCCCATCTCTTGCTGTCTAAAAAAACCTTATCACACAGATCCCTTCGGTTTTTGTGTTATCACACACAAACTGAGAGTTCAGGAAGCGACAATATTCCCGAGGATTGGAAGATCTTAAACCTTTTTTGGGAGGGAAAAACCAAAGTGGATGAATATTCCTTCTTCAGGGAGGGGCAATATAGGAAAAAAAAACAAACCAAACAAGGACTGTTTGATGTTCTTGTTACGTCGCCTTTCTGTCGATTGTCTTCTACAAAAGACAGAATTTTTGCTAGGAGGGATCAAGACTTTTTTTTTATAAATTTTTTTTTTTTTTTTAGAAATTTGTTAAAAATTTTATTTTATTAAATTTTGTGCCAGTAATTTTTTTTTATTATTATTTTTTAAATTTTAATTTTTATTTTTAAATAGTCTTAAGCTCTAAGATGGTCTCAGTATTGCAATATTGTGTGTGTTTGTTTCTGTTATGCCAGCAGAGAGTTTTATCACCGTGAGGAAAAAGGAAAAAAAAACCCAAAACAACAACCCCCCCCCAAAAAAAAAACCCAAATTAGCTTATGTAGACCCCACTGGAGACTCAGCATTTCTGAATCGTATGTGAAGGAAAATTTAACTCCAAACTGGTTCTTAGTGATGCTGCCTGGGTTGTGTCGCTCTTATTTCCAGTCCCACACGCTTTTGCTGATAAAGCTGGTTGAAATTTCTGCTTTTTTGGGTTCTTTTTAAAAGGGGCCTTTTTTTACGACTGCGTTTTGTGCACAAAACCCCATGGAGATTTGAGGGGAAAATGTCTTTTTTGTGTTTTCTGAATCACTTTTTTATTTTCTCAAGGAACATTTTGGTGCTTTTAGAAAATTTGAGGATTGGGTTTTTGGTTTGTTTGGGTTTTGGGGTTTTTTTTGGTTTCTGCGTTTTTCCGAATCACTTTTTTATTTTCTCAAGGAACTTTTATTTTCTCAAGGAATTTTGGTGCTTTTAAAAAATTTGAGGGTTGTTTTTTTGGTTTTTGGTTTGGTTTGGTTTGGTTTGGTTTGGTTTGGTTTGGTTTTTTGAGGGGAGAAATTCCCACATTTTCAGTGTGGTAAATCAATACAAAATTGATTGGGGGGGGATTAAAAAAAATCCGGAAAAAAAATGGACAAACCAAAGGGAATTGTTTTTTCCTTCCTGTTTCAACCAGCTCTATCTTTATTGCTGTATCTTTTCACCAGCCTGGGCACACGTAGAAAGGAAATTGTCCTTGCAAATGGGTTCTTTACTGCTTGATCCTTCAAAAACCTCTCAGGGTGTGATTAACATGAAGCATATGACCGGTGGCACCGGGATAAACGAGAGGTCCATGCAACTCCAACTGTTAAATGGGGTTTTTTCATCCCTGAGAGGCACTGGGTGTTTTCTTTTTCAAGACAGTATTATGTGTTTGAACCAAAAAGACCTTCTTTTTGTGTTGTTTGTGTGTGTTTCGGGTAGTTGTGTTCGTTACAGAGACACTGTGAGATGGTAGCGGTGGGGTGAGGTGAGGAGAAACTTTCCAGAGATGCTGGTTGGGTGATGTCTGTCTGATATATCAGGTCATCAGGGTGGGATTCTGTGAAATATTGAAATATTTGGGCACGTAACCCATCGTACAGGGGTAGTGTTGGATGAGGAGCTCAACCCCAAGGCAAGGTGATGCTCAGAGGTGCTGGGTTCTCCCCTGTTTCCTCCAGAGCTTGGGAGGATCCAACACCTTTATATCTTTACATGGTCATTTTGGGGTAAATCAGCCCCAAAATTGTTGATTGCTTGAAAAAAAAGGTGATGGTGGAAGGGAAATGAAGGGGGTAGGAGGGAGCTCCAGCCAGGAGGGATGGAAGCAGATGGTGGTTTAGGTTAAGGGAGGTTGGGGCTGCGCATCATCCCACTGAATATATGGAAAGAAAAGGGTGGGATGGATGGAAAAAAAGGATATAAAGGGATGAAAAGAAGGTGAAAGGAGCATGGACCAAAGGAGGAAGGAGACACTGGGAAATTAAACTTCAGCTCATCTCCTCAGGCAGCCAGGGAGGATGGGAGAAGCCAAACCTGTGTGTTCTCAGTGGTTTTGGGAAGATGGTTTAAAGGTTGGAAAGGGCGATTGGTGGAAAGCAGCTCTGGGTTTTTTTTAGAAGCAGCCCCTGGCTGGAGCTTCTCCATCGTTTCTCGCGGCCGTTTGCCATCCCAGCTCACAGCTCGTGTGCAAGTGCAGCAGCAAAAACACAGTACAGTCCTAGAGACATCAGGTTCATCAGTTCCTGTTTTCCTTTACTTCTCATTCCCAACCTAGAGACCATCCCGGAGAGGGCTGGGTGCTGTTTATACACTGGAAATTTGCAATTTGTTTTTATTTCTTTTTTTTAAAATTTCTTTTTTTATTTTTTTTTTCTTTCTGCTTTTTAATTGCGTGTTGACTTAACGGCGAGGGATGTGCTGGAACCCAAACCCTCTGACTTCCTGTTCTTTGAGATCATGAAAATTTGGTTAAGCCACACACACTGGACTAGAAGATGGGTTTGAGAGGGATGGTGGACGTCTGCCAGGGTTGGGGCTTCCTCCTGTGCTGGTTTCTCTGCAGTGAGATGAGCTTCACCCTCGGCAGATACACGTGGTTTGTGGAAATTGGGTTATTTTGTCTTCTTTTGGAATGTCTCAGGTGTGTTCAGTGATTTTTTTGGGGGAGGGGGGATATTTTTTATGTTCTCTTTATCATCTGCTGTTCTCCATGGAGGAACATGTCCCTTTCACCCTGCCCAGCAAAGCCTGAGCCCTACCTCGGGAGCTTTGTGCTTGCAAACAGCTTTCTGGGACCTCAACAGTCAAAATTTGGGACCTCAGGAAAAGGAAAAAAAAAAAAAACAACAACAAAAAAACCCCCCAACCTGATGAAAAATGCAAGCACTTTTTCTGCTGCCTGTCTCTCTCCATCTCTCTGTGTAGGATGACCACAACCCATGGACACTCGTGTAGATCTATTTTATTTCCACACAACCACCATCCCACTCTAAACATCCATCATTTAAGTGGAGAAACAATCAAACTAGAAGATATTCTAAGATTTAACCTTCTCAACTCTTTCCAAACCAACACCTCCTTCAAAAAAAAAAAAAACCCCAAACCAATCCCTGTAAGCACCTGAGATGCTGTGGGAAACATCTCCATCTTCTGCCTCTTGCTCTTCTGGAGGGGTTTTCTACGAGGCTTTAGGGCTTGGTTGCTTCTTCCTCATTAACGTCGTGAAATTTGGATGCCTTGGTGTGCTCTGCTCTCTGGTAGGGTCTATATAACATCCATGAGCTGTTGTCTACATTCCAAAGAGGTTGAAATAAATGAGAAATCTATGTATATGTCTATGTTATAATGGAATATCTCCAGGAATTAACTGCCTCAGTTAAAAAAAAAAAAAAAAAAAAAAAAAAAAGAAAAAAAAAAAATTTTTTTTTTTTTTTCCGTTTTTCTTTT